ACTCACTAGATCCAAGATGGCGGGAGATTCGATTTCCAATGGACTTTGAGCCTCCTTATATGCTCATTGTAATATATTAGCATGCTAAATGATACACCCACCAGCACCATGACAGTTCTGAGGCTAACCATAAAAGGCCATAAAAGACCAAAAAGTGGGCAGTGGCCCAATTCCTGGAAACCTCTGCCCCTTTCCCCCAAATAATTGGAATAATCCTCCCACTCATTAGCCTATGAAATTACCCAGCCCATAAAAACTAACCACACCATATTTTGGGACCCTCTCTCGCCTTCTAAGATGGCCCACTCTGTCTGCGGAGTGTGTTTCTCCCAAGGCCTCTCGTCTTCTGAGATGGTCCACACTCCACTTCTTACCTATCACTTCATCTCCAAATTCTTCTAGAACAAAGCAAGAACCTCAGATTCACTGGGAACATATTGGTGAGCTAGCCAGGAGAATTCGGTAAGCCTCAGCCTCTCGCCTCCCTTGCACTTGAGAGGCACAGCCTTACTGCCAGTCATCCTCACAGGCATCCAGGGACCTGAACCACAGGATCTTTGCCTTCTGGGTTTGCCACATCCACCATTTAATTAACTGTTAACAGGTCCAATTGTGTAAAAATATGGAATACAACCTTACTTAGAGTTTCTGCCATGGTTACAGCGGCTGCAATCCCTTTGGGAGCTCCCTCGAGCAGTAGGCTGTCTGTGCGCATACCCCCGGGTATCAGGAGGGGGATGGTTCCTCCCCACCACTGTGGTGGGACCATCGTTCACCACCTGCCTCCTGGCGTTTGTCCGGCCCCCTCCAGAGTCCACCCTGACCCCACTACCACCACGCCCTGTTAGGGCTGGGCAGGCAACTCAAACTGCATGGCCACGCCCCAGGGATACAGGCCTGAGCAATGACCCGCATCTGCCGTGCTTGTCTCCCTGGGGTCACGGGATTGGGAGTGTTCTTCTAGGGTTGCGGGGGCCCTCCATCCCCCTAACGACAGTCACGGTGCCCTCTGTAGTGGCACACCTGGAAGAACAGGAGCCCTAGGCAGAAGACCCGAGCCCTAACCCTCTTTCACCATCTTCAGCCTCGCCCCCGCCCTATAAGCCTCTTCACCCTTCCGTACCAGAAATGCAGCCAGAGCCTCTTTGCCCCCTTCAGGAGGTAGTAGGTGGGCCTCAGGGAATTGCCAGAGTCCACACCCCTTTTTCCTTGTCTGATCTTAACCAATGTCACACCTGCTTAGGCAGATTCTTGGAGGACCCTGGCCAGTTCACCAAAGAATTCCAGGCACTGACTCTCTCCTTTGACCTTACCTGGAAGGATGAAAATATTGTCCTTTCCCACTGCTGCACTAATGAGCAAAAGGCCCGTATTTGGGCACAGGTTCAAACATATGCTGATGAATTACAGGTTGCCCAACCACATCGATATCCTTTGGGCCTGACAGCAGTGCCTCTAATGGATCCCAGTTGGGACTATCAACCAGGCCAGCCTGGTATCACTAGTAGGGATCACATGATCCTTCATCTCACTGAAGGGATGAAATGATGCATAATTAAACCTGTTAACTATGCTAAGGTTAAAGAGATCACCCAAGGCCAAGATGAAAATCCAGCCCTATTTCAGCCCCGATTGGTAGATGCCCTCAGAAAATATACGAATATAGACCCAAATATTTTCAAGGGACACATTGTATTTGCAACCCACTTCATTAGCCAATCAACCCCTACATCTGCCGGAAGCTTCAAAAGCTTGCCATGGAGCCCTAAACCCCTCTCAACCTTCTTATTGACCTTCAGTGTTTTTAACAATAGAGGCCAGGCTGGGGAGGAAAAGAAGGAACAGCATGATTTAAGGAAGGAACAACAGCAAGGCAGGCTTTTGGCCGCTGTCATGAGGAGACCTAAGCCACCTCCTTCCCGGTCACCCCAAAAGTACCCCTAGAAGACCTCCACCAGGGAAAGGAGCCAGTTTCAGCTATGGGAGTCCTGAACACTGGAGCAAGGAATGCTCAGGAAACAGGTCCCAGCCTACACCCAAAACGCCCTGCCCACTCTGCAAGAAGATGGGCCACTGGAAGGACTGCCCCCAGCTCCAAAGGGAGTGAGGATATTCCCCCATGCCAGTCATGGCAGTGGTTGATTGACAGGACCTGGGACCTCCCAAGGCTCCTGAGAAGACAGTCATCATACACGGGAGGAACTGCGGGTGGCCACTGATGTGGCAGGTAAGCTTGTCCAATTTCTAGTGCACACAGGAACCACTTATTCTGTCCTGACTTCTCGTGCTGGGCTCCTTGCCCCTGAAACCTGCTCTATTGTTGCGGCTGAAGGAAAGCCAAAATTAAAACATTCTACCACCTCTCTAACTTGCACCTGGGGAAAGGATAAATAGAAATCCTAAGTGTCTTTTCTGTAAATATTAGTAAAAAGGGTTTAGCCATCTAGACAGGTGACCTGGATTGGTTCCATCTGCCAGAAGCCCAATTTGAATCCAACCCCTTGTAAATGATGGGTTTTATATTACTGTACCTGACTCGGGGCTGAAATTTTGAAATGGTAACTATGAGGTCTCTGTGTTTGTGTGTTCGTATGTGTCTATGTGTGTTGTAGATATATGCTATTGCCAAAATTAATTCATAAAAGAGCTCTATTTAATTGGCTTAAAGGAAATTAAGTCCTTATAGCTTATATAAATACTCAGAAATATAAAACTGGCCAGAATGAATTTCAGGCTCACGTCATCTGGGAAATATTCAATACTAGACTGATATCTGGTATTAAAGGTGGCTTAAGCTGGTTGGTCTGATTAATATAGACATGTCTATTTAGAGTCATCAATGTTAAGTATAGTTACTTCTGTTGTACCCAGGTTTACTAGAGGTCAAATAAGACCTTATTCTGTTACGGATTTGTCAACAAGAAAAGTAACTCGATGTGAAAAAAACATTTAAGGAAAGTAGATTGTTGTGTGTTTTCAGTAAAGAAAGTGTGAGGAATGGAACTGCATTTAATTAAGGGAAAAGAAAGTCTGCCTTCTGGTTGTTTCTGGATGGAAAAAAATAAAGTGATGGATATAGAAGGTGATAAAAGGTTTGTGGAAAGTGGACGCTGAGAAAAGGGTTTTCTGCATGGTCAGGATTGACTAAGTTTAGAATAAATTTAATTGAGTAAATGAATTTTAAAAGTAAGCTGGTGCAACACTTGAATTTGGCCTCTTAAAAGGACAAGTTTTCTTAAAATGTTGAACTGTCTTTGCTAACAGGTTTTAAGTTCTTTACCTTTTAAGTGATCTGTTCTGTATTTGTGTTTGAAATGTTTTATTGTCACTTTGGCTAAGTAACTATTGTCTCACAGTGACCTATGATCTTATTTGACCAAGTGTTTTATTTTAAATCTTTTTGACAAACTTCCCAAACACCAAATTTTAAGTAAAGTTCTTTTGATTTCCAGCTAACTTTGGGATACTTTAGAGGGCCCCTGAGGTATCTCAAAGAGAAGTATTTAACTAGGATTATTTTGTATGTTAATTTAAATATAATCAGAGGTTTAATCAAGCCTTTTAAGTCTTTTGTCATTTATAGATATTTTTGTACGCTGACTCTGTTACAAAATGTGCTTCATCATCAAGAAGATTCATAGGAAGGCTAAGGAAACAGTTAACAACAGTTCCGCATCAAGATGACGGCCCACACGGACTTAAAACAAGCTGTCCTGCCCTTGTGGCCCCTAGATCAGGCATCCAGAGATTTTTTTACTCCCGGACAGGCAGGGTCAACGCCCCTCCTCAGCCCTCAAGCAGTGGTAGCAGACAGACCATCATCCCTCTGCTTCCCGTAAGAATATGGAAGTAAAATCTCTGAGGGGGGAATGAAACAGGAGGGAAGGGGGCACGGCACAACCTTTAAAAGAATGACACGGCCATAGGACATGACAAAAACTGGTTAGAACTCACCAGATCCAAGATGGCAGAAGATTCGACTTCCAGTGGATCTTGAGACTCATCATACACTCATTGTAATATATTAGCATGCTAAATGACACACCCACCAGCACCATGACAGTTCCGAGGCTAAGCCTAAAAGGTCAAAAAGTAGGTGGTGGCCCACTTCCTGGAAATCTCCACCCCTCCCCCCCCAAAACTGGAATAATCCTCCCACTCATTAGCCTATGAAATTACCCAGCCCATAAAAATTAACCATGCCATATTTCAGGGCACTCTCTCGCCTTCTGAGTGGGTCCACATGTCTGAGTGTATTTCTATCTAAATAAATCCACTTCTTACCTATCACTTTGTCTCCAAATTCTTTCTCGACAAAGCAAGAACCTCAAATTCACTGGGAACATTATTAAGTGAAGTTCCTCAGACATAGTTTAGGACTGGGGCACTATTTCCAAGAAGTTCATGTTATTTATTCTTTGCAAAATGTATTCCATCACTCCATTTGTATTTTCCCTGGGGAAATGCAGAGAGCTAATGGAATAAAACAGGACAAATCTTTAGTCGGAAGAAGCAATCCAGGGTTGCTGGCTGAAGCTGGGGGCTGCCAGGGGCAGGGCCAGGCAGGAGCAGGTGCCTAGTGTGGCAAGGCAAATGAGGTCTTTCAAGTGGGAAAGCAGACCAAGGAGGGACCTGAGGAAACACTAAAGATACAGTCTGCCTACCAGGCCTTCAGCTGGAACTCTCCAAGGAATTTCTCAAAGTAGCAGACCCAGGCATGCATAACAAAGACAATCAGAGGAAGAGGTACTTGATCCACTAATATACAAGAGCTCGCTTTAATAGCTCTGGTAGGGGGCGGAGAACAGGCTCCTTTGGCTGGAGAGTACTTTGTTGCACTTCAGGGAAAGGGATCTGCTTCTCTCAACTGGAGGGAATTCCTGTATGAAAGCTGGGTCTTAAGAGTGTTTAAATATTCTTAAGCAATAACAAATAGTGGAATGAGACAAGTCAATAACAGACACAATTCACTGAGGTTGAGTTCAGAGTGTCTGGAATTTAACCATATGCTTTATTTGATGTCAACATCAAAGGAATATTTTAAAAAGCAAATTCAAATCCATAAGTTAGTAACAGTTCAAGTTAACTGCATTAAAAAAAAAAGTATTTACATCTATCCATACTTGTATACCCTATAACTGTAAATAAACTTTTGCATTTCAAAGCACTTGTCACTTATAAAGTGAAAGTTTTCAAAATGCTAGGTAAACATTTGCTAATTATGACTTTTTAAAAACAATACTCCTTTGGAAGATTCTTCTTCCTTGTGCTTATAGTTGATCTGCAAACACTTCTTAAAGTTTCTGGAAACTTCTCTGGAAAAAAATATCAGGAAACTGGTCTGGAAGAAAATCATAGTAGACAAGGGCTTAGTGCAGACATAAGCAGCTCCATTTTGTAAACAAAGTTCCGGCCTTCCATTTTATTCCACTGAACTTCTTTGAACGGTCCACGAAGATGATTCCATTTGCTATCTTGTAAAACATCACTTTTTGGCAGGTCTTTACACTGGTTACGGGGAAACTGAACCATAATCTTGCTGCCACTTTCAGGGCCATTACGAACTGTGGAACAAAACCAAAAATTCAACATACTCATTTTCCAAGCTAGAGACAACAAAGATCACACAACTTCATTCTCCATGAGTATAAAAACCTTGTTTGTCTATCAACTTGAAAGTGCTCATTTAAAAGTGCTTTTCAGGTTCAATATGCTAAAATAAGATTTACTAATTTATAGATACTAGGCTGGTATAAATATTCATGAATTACCATTTGTACTATAAAAATGTGGCAAGATGAATGTTGGTTTAGGAAAGTCAAATGTCCTATACATTTTCAGAACATCATTATTTTTTTCTAAAATACTTGACAACACAATCATTCAATGACTTGGTTAATACATACCTACTATGTGATAAACTCAAATGTTCAAAATCAGAACTGGAAAGGATGCAGGAAAGATTATTCCAAATATAAACTTTAGGTTTTAATGAGGCTTTATAACCCAGGAAAGAAGAAAAGAAATTATCAATAAGGGCCTAGCAATGATCAAGCCTGCAGATTCACAAGCTCTGATCCTGTGGGGAAGAATTTCTAATTATCCATTCTTTCAAATATTTAGAGCAGGTATTAGAAAAGATCACACTAAAACCATATATAATTTTCAACTAGACAGTAGGTATACATGCCTATCAAAGTGCCCCACTCATAGGAGGTGCTTCATAAAACACCTCTCTGTTCCATCCCTTGACCATCTTTAGGATCAAATATTATTCTTGCATATTTGCAGCAGTATAGCTATTTTATCTATGTATCTATGTATCTATCTGTTTTTGGCCATGTGGCTTGTGGGATCTTAGTTCCCTGACCACGGATTGAACCTGGGTCCATGGCAGTGAAACCATGGAGTGAAAGCACCAAGTCCTAACCACTGGACTGCCAGGGAACTCCCCAGCAGTGTTTTTTTTGTTTTTTTTGGGGGGTTACATGGGCCTTTCACCGTTATGGCCTCTCCCGTTGCGGAGCACAGGCTCCGGACACGCAGGCTCAGCGGCCATGTGGGATCTTCCCAGACCGGGGCACGAACCCGTGTCCCCTGCATCGGCAGGCGGACTCTCAACCACTGCGCCACCAGGGAAGCCCCCCAGCAGTGCATTTTTAAAAAGCATTCATCCATTAAAAGTTTTGGCATTTTTCAGATAATCTCTTAGGAAAATGTGTTGCCAAGCAAGACATTTTTTATAACTACTAGAAAGAGAAGTAATAATCTGTTGCTCTGAATAACAGCTATGATGAGATAAATGCTCAGTATAATTACTGCATGAACTTGCCTCCTGCAGAGATAAATTACCATTAAGTATAGTAACTATTAAAGCTAAATGTTAAGGTCAAACTCCCAAAGGCCTCTTCACATTCAGAGAAGCAGAAAGTACCTGAAATAGCATAGTCACCATTCGGGGAGGCCACTGTTATGGCAGAGGCATTGCCAATGCTCTCTATGGGCCCAAGGCCCACGTGATTACTGAAGCTCAGGACCTGCCAGCCCATAACCTTGGCTAGCTGCTGAACTGCATGCACCTGATGCTGTGACATCTGTGAATGAAAAAGGAAACTTCACTGACAATCAGCATGGGTATTTACTTTGCAGTGACTTGACATCGTGACTGTAAAATAAACTTCTGTTGGGGTTTTCAGTGCCTAGCACAGGAACCCTGTCTTATGTTTGAGGAATCCTCCTGTGTGACCACTGAGGGAAGCGAACAGCACCCCACCTTCTACTGCAGAAGCTGAAACAGCCTGATACTCGCTTTCCTGTCCACTGGCAGCTGGAAGACAGGCATACAACCTGAACTTGGCCAACTGGAACCTCCCACCTGGATCACTGATTATGAAGCAACAATTAAGTAGTAGCAGGGTGTGCAGCTGCGTATCTTCCATTAACCCCCTCAAGTCCACTCTCCACCCTGCTCTGTCCTGGGAGGCTGATCCATATGGTTACACTACCAGCTTTTATAACTAGGTCCTTAGTAAACAGACACTCCTGAAATTATCCTGAATGTGCCACTTATTTCCGGTTAAGACCCTGACTGGTACACGGGGCAATTCAGAGTGCATTCTGTCCCAGTGATGAAGGCAGTAGTGCTGGGACGGCATCAGTAGTGGCATTGCCCTGGCTGTGGTTCTATCTAGCTTCCTTTGATCCTGATCCATTTGCAAGTCTTATTCTCTAGACTTCCCATCAATTCTGGAAGCTATTCAGTAGGCTTTCAATATGTTTCTGCGTGTATGAGTAAGCCGACCAAAGCCATTTTAGGTGCAATCAACCAAGAGCTGCCATACCTCACGAATCCATTTTTTTCCCTTGGTACCACGTAAGCAATCAGTATAAAAGATTATTGCTTCTAGGATGGAGAGTGTCAGTATTTTCAAAAAATTTTATGTGAAACATAAATATGTGCTTTATGTGTGATTCATTAGCATGCTAATGAATATGTGATTCATTAGCATTTCAAAACCTACCCTTTCTCCCATAACTCAAATTTCAATGGGTCATCACAACTCCATGAAGAAGGTAGGAAAAATACTGTTCTTACTTTACAGACGAAGAAAGAAAGGTCCAGAAAATTGTCCAGTGTCACAAAGAAGGTTTGTGACAGCACTCTCCATACTGTCCCTTAATAAGAGGAACTCTTGCTTAGGGCTCAAGAGGAAAGCATTCCATTTATCATTATGGAGAATGGACACTACAGCTTCGTATCTGATCTCCCTTTCTCTGGTTTTCTTGGGTTAGTAATTCTAAACTTTCACGTGGTCCTGGAGGGGTGGTATATCTTGGCTAACATGAGAAATGAAAAAAGTCCAATAGTCTCAGAACTGGTCCTGCATCTTCAATACAAACTAAGAGTAGAAGCAAATCTAGGATAGTTTGTCAACACTTTCAATTAGCCTGTAGGTTGTAAAACGTGCACTAGACATTAGGTGGCAGGAAAAATGGCTTTTTAAAAAGAACTGTACTTCTTCCCCACTTTGTTCATTCACTAGTTATGAGTGGAAGGGGCTCGAGACCTGTAGCTGCAACTGTTACCTGAGACAGAAGGAAGTCCTGCAACTCCTGCTCCTGATGAGACAGAGTGATGACTCTTCCATCTCTGTGTACGACTCGGATCTGCTCAACTCCAATATTCAACTGCAGCTGAATGGACCTTTAGAGACACATATACTAAACATCAGAAATGTTGCAAATTACCTTATACAATGCCAAAAACCTTAACATCAAAGAAAAAGAATATAACAGACAGTTTTGATAACCTACACCAACACCCACGGGGGAGAGTTTTCTTAGGTTCAATGGAAACCATCAGACTCTCTCTAAACTACTGTAGGCCACTAAGCAGCAGTCTACTCAGAAGGATACGGTGGGGGAAGCACAGCTTGCCAGCAGGCCAACAGCCCTTGCTCCTCTTCTACGGCAGGCCTTTCAGCTGTCAACACTGCAGCAATACACCACTGCTGCAATGAAATGAGATCCACATTGAGAATACGTGGGACCTGCCCTGACGCAACAACCTGGTTCCTCACAGGAGCCACACACCCTTAACAGCTCCACAGGCATGGTTTCCAGGGTGCCCACCAGAGACACTGCCCACTGTTAGAAGTCACGCCATCCTGGGAAATCCAAAGCCATCCCCATCAGGGATTTATAATGTCTCCCAGTCCAGAACCATTTTACCAATTTGGGATCATTTCTGCCATAAGCAGTGTTGCCTAGTAACACACATGGCATCTTTC